CAACGGCATATAACAACAACAATGTATGAAATAATAGTGCCTGGGTAGTGCAAACAATTAGCTTACTTGACTGCTAACTGAAAGGTTGGAGGTTCTGAAAAGGGAAGTTCTGCTTTGTAACACATGAGGTTGCCATGGTAAAGAAATGCCTCAATGGCACCTAAAAACAATAGTTATTGAGTTGGCTCATCTGAATGGACCACTTTTGTTGGCAAAATAATGGTAAGATAGCAGTGTTATTTGGTTCAATCTAATTTAATTGGCATATTTTCTCTTAAAAGAGAGTTTTTAAGAATGGACATAAATAGTAAACAAAGCCACAATGTTGACATCAGACGTCCCAACAAAGCAGTTTGTATTTTTGTTGAATTGAGTTCTGGAGATGATTTCATCATGAGAACTCCATGCTCCACCCTTCAGCCCTGATTTTCATGTGCTTCTGGCACAAAATGAAGTTCCATCATTTTCTTGGAGCTCAGGGCCTTGTTACCTGTTATTTCTCCACTGTCCCATGGCTAGAGCATCCTTTGTTACCAGGAGGTACTGCTCAGACCAGGAGAGCTTTCACAGAGCCTGAGAGGTCTCAAGCTTGCAATGAACCACAGAATCTTGTTAAGAATGTGCTGGCACACAAAACTCTATCAGTCTTGACTTCTTGATTGACCTGAGAGGTGTCTGGTGAAAGAAAAAGGGAAGGGGTAAGAGTTGACCTATAATGAACAGAACTCCTGTTCCAATCAGAGGAAAATTGTGGGGCCAGGAGTGTGTCAGTACTCCATGAAGAACAGACCCACATTTCATTAGGTGATTTCCATTTATTATTCACAGGAATGAATGCTAATTGACTTGAGTCCTTTCTGAGTGTCTGCAGTGTCATTTAACCTTTTCCATGTATGTGAATATTGTGTTAGTAGCAGCCATCTGGCCCGTGTATTAGTTGGCAGCTATATTCCTTACTGGTCCACCTTTAAATAGCAAAGTCATATTAGGTATCATCTGCTGCAAAAGACCTCTTTAAAGTGCTGAAGAGCAAAGATGTCACTTTGAAGACAGGTGCACCTAATCCAAGCCATGGTATTTTCAGTCACTTCATATGCATATGAATAAGGAAGACCAAAGAGTTGATGCATCTGAATTATGTTAGTAAACAATATTGAAAATACCATGGACTGCCAGAGGAATGAACAAATCTGTCCTGGAAGAAGTGCAGCCAGAATGTTCCTTGGAGGCAAGAATGGCCAGACTTCGTCTCATCTGCTTTGGTCATGTTGTCAGAAGGAACCATTCCCTGGAGAAGAATGTCATGCTTGGTAAAGTGGAGGATCAGCAAAAAAGGGGAAGGCCCTCAACAAGATGCATTGACACAGTGACTGCAATGATGGGCTCAAGTATAGCAAGGATTGTGAGGGTGGCACACGACCAGCCAGTTTTTCATAGGGTCACTATGAGTTGAAGTCTATTTGATGGCACCTAACAACAACAACATATTAGATATTTGTTGTTCAGGCTCAAACTGGATTTAAATTACAGTGCCAATCCTGCCTCAACCATACTTACTGTGTGAGGTTGGATGTATTAGCTCTTGAATCTTCAGTTCCATAATCATACCACCTATATCTATATACTAATATAAAGCTGTGAAGAAGACCTTGCTCATGTGTCTAATACATAATTAGTGACCCCAAATGATAACTTTACCCAAGTCAAGTACGCTGATTAATTAAGAAGGAAGAAGAAGACTCCTGTGCTGCCATAACCCCACTGTCACCCCAGATAGAACTATATATTCAATTAGGAATTTGCATTTAATTGTCTTTCTCATGAATGCAAATACTACTGTACTCATTTGCTGTGAAACTTGAATTTACCATAAAGATTACCATATTTTACTAAAATTCTAAATTTTTAGCCAGGAATTTATGGCTCTCTATGTCATTGCTCCAACCTTTCCTACAGGTTCTATCCTACAGTTGCTATCGAATTGACTTTAACTCATGGCAACCCAATT